GATGACCTACCTACTGTCTCCCCTTTTCACCACTCCAGTCGCAACATCAAGAGTCTCAGTTTACCATAGAAATTGAAAGGTCAAGTCATATTCTCTTTACTTCCTAAACATTTCATATATTGTATCCATTTTCTTTCTGGAAGACCTTTTTTATGCAAAACAATTTGGGCCAGGTTCAAGTCTGAAACTTCTAAGCTCTGCCTGCCCCACTCCAATGTATTTCTTTCTTTTGGCTAAGTAGGTCTGCAGGTTGCATAGGGGATGTGTTGTGTAACTAATCTGATTCAAGCTTCCAAGGCAGGTTTCTGATAGCTACATAGAATTTATTTCTAAGATTTTCATAGATCCAGGTTTTTGTTTGAGCAGGGAGCCTCCAGAGTGTATTAAAATAGCTCTCCTATATGACGGGGTAATTAAAATGTAACCCTAGATTGCCATGCTATTGAGTTGAGGTGGAATGGTTCACTACAACTTGGCCTAGAGGAAAGCAAAGGCCCTTAGCTGGTAGGCTGTTACATTTCTGGTTTACAGAAGAACTCTGAGCTACCTCAGCACTGCAAGGGTTAAAGGAGAACTATGGGGTCAGTGTTTTTCCCCATAGTTCTCCTTGGGGTAACGGGAGGACACAAACTAGCGTTCTCCCGTTACCCTAAGCTCGGTATACCGCGAGCTACAGCCTCACCTTTCTTCCCCACATCCAATCACTATCCAAATCCTGCCGCCTTCACCTTCGTAACATCTCCAAATACGCCCCTTCCTCACCAATTAAACTGCAAAACTACTCATCCACTCGCTTGTTATCTCTTGTCTCGACTATTGCAACTCCCTCCTCATTGGCCTACCTCTACACAGGCTATCCCCTCTTCAGTCTATCATGAATGCAGCTGATAGACTCATTCACCTAACCAACCGCTCAGTGTCTGCAACCCCCCTCTGCCGATCCCTGCACTGGCTTCCTATAGCCCAAAGGATAAAATTCAAATCACAAAGCCATCCACAACTCTACCCTCGGCTATATCTCAAACCTTGTCTCCAAATTTTACCCTTAGGCTTGGTTCACACCTAGGCGTATTGCATATGCGCGTCTGTCGCGTGTTTTTTTTTTACCGCGATTCGCAGTAAAAAAATTGCGCGACAAACGCGTTTCCGAGGGCTACTTGGCTGTATCCCAATGGAAACGCGCAACAAAAACGGCCCAAAGTAGTACATGTACCTTTTCAGGCGTGGGCCGTTTTTTAGCGCATTAGGGACGGGCGGAAATACGCCAAGGTGGGAACCAGACCATTGAATACAATGGGATTTAGATGTTTGAGCGTTTTGTAGAGCGTTCTTCGAGCGTAGAACACGCTACAAAACGTTCAGGTGTGAACGAGGGCTAACCGTCCACTCCTCAAAAGACCTGCTCTCCAGCTCCCTCATCAACTTCTCCCATCCTCGCCTCCAGGACTTCACTCCCATCCTATGGAACCTTCTACCCCAACCTGTCCATTTATCTCCCAACGCTATCTAACCGCTCTACCATCACGTTCGCAAACAATTCATCCCCACACAGCTACCTCCTTATGTATCACTTCCCCCTCCCTTTTAGATTGTAAGCCCTCACAGGCAGGGCCCTCCTTGCCATCTTGAATTGTATTGTGACTGTAATGTCTTCCTTGTAATGTAAAGCGCTGCGCAACTGTTGGCGCTATATAAATCCTGTATAATAATAATATAACTTTTTTTTTTTTTTTT